GCATGTATAATTCAAGAACTAAAGAAATACATAGCTAGGGTTCTGAAATTCATGTGATAAACTGAACAATAACATGATAATCTAATTTGGAGCATGTTAATAATTAATTCATGATGATCTGCTGTAATTCTAGAAACCCGAGGTCTATTCATAATAAGGGAATCAAGAAACTGACTGAATTCTAGGGACCCAATGAGTGAAAGAAACCCCACTAGTGAAATCCCACATACCTGGTGACTAATTCCACGGAGAAATTTTTTGATTTCAGGGCTGAAACTGATGGAACCTTGCGGGGTTCTTGAACTAGGGTTCTTGACCTTTTTCTCCTCTCTTGCTACTAATTTTCTAAGTTTTGATTAATGATTTTGACTAAGGTAAGTTCTAGTTATGTTTCTAGGCTAAAACTGACTAAAACCTCATGATTTAGGGTCTAAACGACGTACCTTAGGGGGTTAAACGAAATAGAAAAAAGACCAAAAAGACCCCTAACTTAATTGATGTCGGAGTGAACCGGCGGATTGGACTGACTGGAGTCGTCGGTCGAGTCTGCCCGACAAGGCTTCACTAAAACGAGCATAACTATTTACTCGGATGTCGGATTTTAGCAAACTTGGTGGCGTTGGAAAGAGGATTCAATTATCTATTATATAATAGGTCATAGAACGCATAATTACTTTTGTGCTAAAAGTTATGACCATCTGAAGTTGATCCATCAATAATTTTCAGCTAACTGGCTGCTGACCCTCATCTACGGTCAGATCTAAGGATCGTGCATCGAATGACGGTCCATGCTGGTTGACCATAGTTTGTGTCAGAGGCTGGGTAAGGGAGGCCTCGATCCACGGACATAGACCACGAACCGTGGTATGATCTACGGAACGTGGGTCTGTTCGTGAGTCGGGACATAGCCAACTTTTCTGAGCTGGTTTGGGGAGGGGTTGCAGTGGTGAACCACGGACCACCAGCATGGGCCGTGGTCTGACCTACCGTCCGTGGATGGGGACCCTAAGTTGCACTGACAACTTCTAAAAATCTGCATTTTTGGTCTGTTCGGATATGGGGTGTTACATAATTAACCTTAAATTGCATTTACATGTGTGAAGGAGTGCTCTACCCTTCATTCAATACAATTCATCATAATAGCTCATAGATTCATTAAAGGAGAGAATGTACTTTCAACCTTAAAATTAACATTAACATGTGAGTAGAACTTTCACATTACATTGATAATGTTTTCATGAGAATAGACTTTCAATCAACACAATACATCATCATCATCCTAGACTATTCATGCATCAACAAGTATAATGGTAAGGGAAGAACAACCTTTCAACAATACCATACTTTACACAATAGTCATAGGAGATTTACTTTCTGAATGAATCAATAGTTTATACACATCTTGCATCCATATGTACAAACCCTAGCAAGTTACCCCTTTTCTCAAGGTCATGAATCACGTCTCCCGGTTACACCTAAAGATACTACAATAGGCATGAATTACACAAGACTCAATAACTAAATTCTCATAGAAACAATTCATAGTAATCATCTTGCATAAATACACCCATCACAATACTTGAAATTGGGGTCATGGGGGTGTTCATAGGTTCAAGGGGAATTTTACAATGAAAATCAGCATTAAACATCAAATCATCCATAATATAATGCAATTAACATAATAAAATCGTTTTTAGGAAGAACCCATAATTAGAATGGAAACCCTAGTTTTTGAACAAGTTACCATTTTCAAAATCAAGAGTTGAAGGGCTTCATGGAGAAAATTGTTCCATGAATCAAGGTCCCCATACCTTAATTGAAGCTTTGCCCACAAATTGGAGTTGAGAAGATGGGTTCTTGAGCCCTAATATTCAAGTTCTTGGTGTTCTTCAATGGAGGAACTTCTAGAGAGAAATATTGAGAGAAAGATGATGTTCTTGGGTTTCTTCTTTTATTAATTGGGAGTAACTAAAAAGGAAGAATTTTGACTTTAAAAAGTATTATATTTTTTAGGAAAAGACTGGGAAAGTGTTGGTTCAAATTTTGGAGAGATTACTAAAAGACCCTTCCTTAAACTTCAAAAACTTACTTGCCCCATGCTAGAGCTCGCCCTTTGGCACCATTGGCTCGCCAAGGGCACTAGGCGACTCGCGTAATGAACCCTTGGCTCGCCCAAAATTCCATTAAGCTCCATAAATGAGCAGCTCACAAGGCGATGGGGAGGGTCAATGGGAAAATCGTCAACCCCATTGGCGACCAATGACCTCTCTCGCCCAATTTTCCAAAACCTAGGACAAGTGAGGGCTGTCCACTAGGCGAGGAGAGCCCATTTGGCACATCGCCAAGGCACATGGGCGATGCTACTTCCCATCGCCGCATGGACCAAAGGTAGGTATTATTTTCCTTCATTTTTCTTAGGTAGTTCAAGGTCCTTGACTTCATCCTAGATGCTAACCTCTTCCCTTTTTTATCCTAGTTTAGTCTAAACATCTCCAGAAAGTTACTCAAAACCTCACGCTTATTCTCTAGGTTAACCTACCATTTTTTCGGGGTGTTACACCATAGCAGCCTGAAAGAACTTGCTCACCCTTGAATCCGATCTTGCTCAGGGATCTCTTAAATGAGGTCTGTTAGTAGCCGCTTAAAGATGCCTTGTACTCAACAAAGAAAGAGCAAGTGTAGTATCAGTACATAACCACAGTATACTGATAGGATCACGCGGCTATTCCAATAAGTGAAACATATATAACCAGTCACATCATAGTGATCACGCATATACCGAACATATACAATATCAGGTATCTTTTTACGAGCAATGTACAATTCCACATTCTTAATAATACACATACATGACAAGTCAATGGTCCTCTCATGGAACCCATACCCAAATTGTTAGTTTGCCAGATCGTGACACCCGATTCAAGTTAGTGTCGGAACGTGACACCCGTTCCAATATGTATATCGGTACGTGACATCGTATCCCAGTTAATGTGTCGGAATATGACACTCGATTCATTCAACATGCCACAATCACAATCACAATATACATTCTCATAATCATACAATCAAGTGTTCATTCATCGCTTACAATCATGCATTCATACTTATTTGCATTAGATGTAATCAATAGTGCAACATTCGCATACACGCATGTATTACAATGAAGCAAATACTAAGATACATCACACAAACATGAAATCAAACCATCACCTACCTCGAAACCAAGCTTTAATCCTCCTAAGAAACTTGATTCTTCCCTTTCTGGATTTTTTCCGCTTGTTCTAGGTCTACAAACAAATAATATAACGCAAGGATCAATAATTAAGGTCTAATTTACCCGGATTATAAGAAACCCAAGAACCCAAGACCAAACCCATGATCCTAAGGTGTAGCTAAGGCTTTTTCCCACCATCCAATTCAGTCCAAAAACCCTCCCCAATGATTAATAACCAAGAATCTAAGTTCTACGAGTCGAGAAACGGATTAGGGGAGTAAGAACCTTACCTTTTGCACCTAAAGTAGTGGAAATATGTCAAGAATTCTCTTGTGGTCGCCTCCTAGCTCTTAAGAACGATGTTTGCCGAATAATGACGCTTTTTGGGTTTAATTCCGACTTAAGTCGCGACTGGCCCGCCGTAGCGGGACACAACCCGCCACAACGGCCCCGCCCTAGCAGGATAATTCCTGCCCTGGTAGCTTGCACGGAAATAGAGAGTCGAAAGTTGAGTTTCAAACCCCCATTTCACAACACACCTTCAACCCATGACAGTCAGAAACTACCCGTTCAAACTAAGGTCAATTTCAGGTGTTCTATTCGCCCGAATTCATTTCCGTAAAGTCATATGGGTTCCTTAACGTCTTCACTATCTACTCGTGTGATAAAATTCATAAATAGATCTCTCATTCATTACCAGATTTACCTATACCTCAGTGACTCTGATTTCATCCAAATTTGAACTAGGTTAGGAATTCTCAAGTTACTACCAAAAAGTTTTCGTGTCCAAATCTTTTCTCCGTTGGCTTTTCTATAACGACGGGAGCAGGTTGTTACATATATTCCCTTTATTTTACAGCAATGAGAAGGAAGAAATCTAATCAAATCAAAAGGATTCTTACATTAAGACTATTTTTATTGAGAACTCATAATTACATACATTAGGAATGCAAGAATTTGAAGATTGGCGGCTATTTTAATTCTTTGTTTGAATTTAGCTGTTATGATATATTTATTGATTTTTATGTTTTATCAATATATAACACTAGATAGTATGTCTAGTGGCCCTTTATTAACAATAAAAATATTGAATATTTACCAATATGGATAAGTACATGTAAAGTGGTCAGCAACTTTATCGGTCAATATAAAGTAACATTATTTATCATATATAGATATAGATACACGTGATACAGCATAAGGACTCAATTTCTTTTAAACTAGATTTTGCACTTTAAGCTACTTGACATGAGTTCCATTGTCTTATTCAATAATCTTTTACTAATTGTGCTTTCAACACTTCTTTGAATATTACAAATGATAAATTACCACATACCCTCTTCAATTTAATTTATTCATCTAATTTTTGCTTGGCACAAAATTAATGAAAATAAAGAAGATTTTTGAATCTTGTAATCTGAAATTGAAGATATTGAAAATGCATCAAGGTTCTCTTTATTCTTATGTTCTTAAACATGGAAAGTGAAAATTAAAAACCAAGAGTTACCAAAAAGGAAAAAAGACATTCCTTTTTGGAAGGACAAAAAAAACAAGAAAAGAAATTGAAACGAAGAAAGTTCTAAATAAAAACACATTTCATTCCATGATAAACATATTGAAAGATAAATTAAAATCAAAGATAGAATAAACATAATCATTAATATGACCACCAACTTAACTCTATAAGTATCAAATTAAGTGATTGAATTTTAATTAAAACAAGAAAATTCTATTCATTGGATCCAGATGGCCTTTCATAGGAATCAGACGAAGAATGTTTTGTAACTCTTAGAGGAGTAAATGCACTTCCAATGGTTTGATATGGAAATTCAAAACCACACTCTTTTTTTATGCTCAGTACTCTTTCAATTGCTTCATCTGCAACTTCCAAGGCCTTGCACAGATTTTTAAAGTCAAAGGAACTGAGTTTTTCAATTGGAAGTTCTTTCCTCGATGATTGAAGAGCTTCTCCATATTTTTTTTCTCTTTCGAATGGAATCTCCAATCTGTTTAGCTTCGTATTGATCTCATCAGTATTAGCATTTTGATGAGCAATAACGATGGGGTTAGGAGCATCAATATCAGTCGGAGGATTTTCTACCAAAAATCTATTCATAATAGACTCAACGGAAGGGTGTCCACATGAGTATGGTTTTTTGCTAAGAGAAAAAACTACAACAACAACATCAGCACCACACAAAGTGGAGAGCTCTGTTGCTTTTTTAAAGACTCCATCGCGTCGTTTTGAAAATGTTACTTGTAAATTTCTTTCATTTTGCATCCTCGCCATTTCAACTCTTCTTCGGCCATTATTAGTCTTCTCGTGGCTAAGCTTCTGTTTTGAGAATGTAAGAAAATGTGATTCTAAAGATGTATTTATAGCGATAAAATCATCATAGTATCAGTTGAAAATGAACACAAATGACAAAAATGTAAAAATATTTATGATGTTTCCTTATTTGGTAGATTTGAACAAAACTCATTTCATATTAATTAAATTTCTCTTTTTGGTTCATTGTATTGTTAGTCAACGTGTAAAGATAGTAACTACGAATGACATATTTTTTAGTTAGATTTATGTTATTGGATTATTGAAAAAAAATTATTGTGTCATTCTTTTGTAACATATGTTTAAGTAAGTTAATATGTAAATTGATGATAATTTCAGAGGTAAATATTTTTTTTACTGTGTTTGTATATTTTCTAAATCTTCTCTTGTTCAATTATGTATATTTCCTAATAAAGGCATGCTTAATAAAGACATTCCACTATTATTAACAATATGAAAATACTTACTGTCTAACTCATATTTAACAAACAAAAAATATTAAGCACCTCTATTTAAAATTTTAAGTTAGTTGTGTGTGTTATAGAGCATTGCTAAACTCATAAAATATACTTGTAACTTTTGACAAGCAAAAAAATAACGTAATAGAAAATCCTAATGCAATTTAATTTGTATCTACAATTTTAGAATAATCTCAAGGACTTTATAATTCATTTTAAATTCTTAATATGATACAACAAATTTTGTCTCTTTTTTTTTATCATCCAACCATCTCATGTTTGAACATAATATGATGCATTATGAAATAATATATAATAACCATCCAAAAGAGTATAAATTTCAAAGATTGTATGTACTTCATTCTCGTAACGTCATCTATCTAACTTTGTGACTTGAAATCAGTTTAGTGAAACTCATCTATACCTCTTTTTCATTATTATTTTTGTCATTTATTTGTGTAGGTTACTAACTTTTTTCAGTGACGCTTCTTCTTTTTATCTGTAGATATCTATATGTTGAATAATTTATATTACTTTCATAACAATTTTCTTTCATCAATGATTTCTACATGTAAAAGAAATATATATACACAACTTTACACATCGAAAAATCACTACAACAAATTTGGCTTAAGGCCACGCTTATTCTAGACTACGTTTGAAAAGTGTTGTAGCACCTCGGTATTTCAAAGAGCTAAAAATAGAAAGAACTAAATTGGAAATAGCCAAATCTGAAAATTTGCAAGTTAGGCCTAAGTTATGAGTTTTGGGTCAACTTCAAACGACCATAACTTTCTGTACAAAATGAGTTAGGTGTCCCTTAAGATATCAAATTAAAGGCCTTGGAATCCTCTTTCCAAAACCACCGAGTTCACTAAATTTTGATCTCGTATGAAGGAGATATGACTGTTTGAAGTCAGGCTGTTCAATTAAATAAAGTTACCCGAAAATATGAGGGGTATTTTGGTCTTTTCCTTACCCTTTTAGATTTAAGTGTTTTTAGTAATTAATTAGGTATCTAAACTGATTTGGTTCAGTTTTCCCAAATCAAAATACGCTTAGGGTTTTAGAAAAGATTTCAAGAAAAGAGGAGAAGATTCAAGCGTTCGTCAAGTTCTTGAGGTTTTCTTGTGGATTTTCGCCAAGGATTTGATCCCTAAGAGGTATGTGAGTTCTCATAATGTTGGGTTCGTTCACCCACATGCCAATCATGTTATTTTCAACGCAAATTTATTCTTAAAGTTGAAGAATTTGAGTTCTTGTTGAGTTTTATTAGAATACCTTTCATAATCTTGATTGTTGGGATTTCAATGAGTTCTTGAGATAAGTTTTAGTGTTTTGAGGGTTGTTTCGAGTAGATTATCGTGTACATACGTTGAGTATTTGATTCCAAGTGATTGGGGAAGAAATCATTAGATTCTAGTCGAATTAAGGTCAGAAAACAAGTAGAAAAATTCGTCAGAATTACCTGGAGAGGGGCTGGGCGGCGCGCCCCAGATTCACCAGAGGGACTGGGGCGGCACCCCAGCAATGCGCCTGAAATGGGTCTCTGAACTTTAGGGAGCAGTGCTCCAGGGTCGCCTTCCCACACCTTTTTTCCATCGTTTTACCCGTCTAAGTTCTCCTAAAGTATACCTTAACTCCCTATTGATTCTAACTAGTCTAAACTACTTCTAAACATCTAGAAATCATTCATGAACATGAATCATAACCTTGAATCCATAAATTCAAACTCAAGGTAGAGCTAAGTGTCAAGTCTTGAGAGTTCTTCGAGTCATTTTAAGAAGGCTTTACAAATTGTTTTAAAACTTGTTTTAAATGACTTGAGCACTGAGTTGAGGAAGATTAGAGCTAAGTTCATTTTCTTTAAAATGATATATGGGAACTAAGTATTACTAAGAGAAAATGTTTTTACATTTAAGATGAGAGGAAACACCGATTTCCTAAGAGTTCTAGAACAATTTTTAGTATTATCTCTTTTTAGAGAAACATTTTGAGTAATAATCTCAAATTTGAGGAAGAAATAATGTTTTCTTTAAAACATAATGAGCTAAGTTTTATTTTGGGAGTAGTATTGAGCACCGATATGGGGGAGGGTTCTAACAACTCACAGCCCCCATAAAACATGTAACCAGCGTAGGTAGAAAACGGTCATACTTTTTAGATGATTCATTTATTGCTTTTTAGCATAGACTAGTGGATCCACTAAGTTAAGGAGTTCTATACCCCGACAAAGTATAGGACAATTTTGGCAGCGTGGGCTAGACGATGTACCATCACATAGCTCATAGTGATGGTTGTCGGTTTGAGAATCTCCCAACAGTTTCTATTTTGTATTTCTAATACACTGATTTGTTATCTACTATTTTAAAACTTTTCTTTATACTGCATTATTTCTATTACTTTATATTGAGATGAGGTTGAGTTGAGGTTAGACGAGGTAAGTGTTCCTTCAATTCCAGTTCAAACTTATGTCATGTTTTAGATTTCCCATCGCATGCTCGTACATTCCGTGTACTGACGCCATTTGGCCTGCATCTTTTATTTGCAGATATAGGTAACCAAGATCAGCATCTAACACTTCGTTGATCCAACTGAGCTCTAGAGTTGTTTGGTTAGCCTTCTTGCATCCGGAGGATCCCTTCTTTATTTTTAGTTATGTCAGTTGTTAGGATGATCGGGGGTCTTGTCCCGACATCCCTAATAGTATTAGAGGCTTCATAGATAGATAGATAGTAGTTCATGAGTCTTTTTCATTTTCAGTTTTAAATGTTTAAAGACTTGAGTTGCCTCTTTGTCCAGTTGAATGTTTCCTTTTATAACATTCCGAGTTTCATACATGAGTTTATCTTTTGAGATCTTTTAAATGTTGAGTAAAGTCTTCCACCAAGTAGTGAGCCAGGCCAAGGGTTCACTTGGGGCCAACAATGGTTCTCGAGTGTCGGTAACGTCCAGGGTGTAGGCTCAGAGCATGACAAGTGTTGCCAAAAATATGTAAGGGCACGCTTTCAAGGCGTGATCTTTGTGCACAACTTTTGGCCACATAAACTTTGACAACACTTTTGAAGCGGGTTTTTAGAAATATTGGCTACACAATATAAGCGTTGTCAAATCATAAAATAATAAGTAACGTTATTTATACATATGGCTACACTTTTAAGTGTGCTTTATTCGTAATTCTAAAAAGAAACTTTATAATGTGCCTTGATAGTTCTGATAAGTTTTAAGCTAAAATAATAAGATCCCTACATGTATTTATTTCCCCTAATCTCTGAAAAGAAAAAAAAATGCTATTAGCCATAATAATTTGTCTGAAAATAAAAAGTTGCCTCCATATATCTAGTCTTTATCCCCAATTTGTAAGAACCAATGTTTTAAGAGGTGGGGCGTAAGGCAGAGCATTTTACTAAGCATAGGGTGAGGCGTAAGCCTCAAGACATGGGGTGTAAGCCCTATCGATCTTAAGATTTTTAATTTACAATATATAATATAATAATATAATAACACAATATTATAAAAATGCATTAATAGTTTGAAATGATTACAAACATGATCAAGAAAACTCATAGAAAATAAAATTTCTAACATGATTATACAAGTATAAATAATCTAATATCTTAACTTTATAGTAATAAAAGAATCATTATTTCTAAAAATATATTATTATCATACTATACAATTTACCCCCCCCCCCACCCCCCCAAAGAAAATAATCAATAAAACTTATTAGTATTATAGTAAAAACATCAATCCATCATGAATAAAAATAATATTACTTTTAAATAGCTAAATAAATTATGATAAATATTTTAGGCATTTGACAAAAACACGAGGACTAATGATAAGTGAAAAAATAAAATTTCGCTATGTATTTTTAAGAGAAATGTTACGTAATATATAATCACTCTCACAGTGTTATCAAATAGTAAATATGTGATACTACAACTTAATATTTGAGTTACTCTCAATCTTCTTATTTCTAAAGATTACAAAACCATTAAGTATCATTCATTTATTCAAGAATTATGATGGTCAACAATGTTAACTAAAGAGTTTAACACATAATTTGTGTAAGATCTGTTAGGCAAGTCCCAAGCATTGGGCGTTGTGTGTGCTTAGGGCGTACAATCAAGCGCTTAGGGCGTAAGTATTACAGAACTAAGCCCCATACTTAAGTCTCGGGATGTTTTGCTAGAGCCCCGCTCAAAGGCAAGTCCTAACAGACTCTTTTAAAACATTGATAAGAACATTATCAACTCTAAAATTCATTACCAAGATTCTCACTAATCACTACCTCTCAACTCTTCAATTATGTGCTATCATGATAATTTTTTTGTGCAGTAATAAGTTAGTGGAGAACCAAAACTCTTAGCTAGGTATTATTCTCCTTAATCATATTATGATTATGATGATGTTTTAAAAATGCCTATTCAATTCCATGTTCCTAGTTGAGTCAGAGTATGCCTCATCTTTGTTATATTGAAGTTCCTAATTTTCACAGTA